GACCCCCAGGGCCTTTTCACACTCCATCTGTTCACTTTTCTGGCATTTGCCTAAAACGCCCGTGTCCTCTGCTCGCTCTGGATTCTCTCTCTGACCATATAGTTCCGAGTGAACCTCCTGAATTGGAGCCGCATTGTCCTGCCCCCAGCAGCAGCCAGCACCGCCAGCCAAGCGTTTGACGTTATTAAATAATAAAGAGATGCTGATCTGGTAGCATTGTTATGAAGGGAACAAGACCAATTAGCGTCCCGTTATACTGTCATTATGGCTGTATTAACTCGAATTAGTTCAAAACAACGAGCATATTGACACTTGCGTTTTCCAGTATTTGACTATAGAGAAAATTTGTTTTTACACTTAAATAATAGGAACAGGGATGACTTCAGTTTCAGTAAAGACACAAGTGGGACGGCTGCGGCTCAGGACGTAGAGCGGCCGAACCCCAACCGGAAGGTCTGCGGTTCGTTTCAGGTTCTCCCCACTCCAAGTGCCGGAGTGTCCATGGGCAGGACACTGAACCCCAAGTTGCTCCCGATGGACACGCCAGTGTGTGTGTGTGTGTGTGTGTGTGTGTGTGTGTGTGTGAGGTGGCGCTGAAGATGGCTTCCTCTGGTCTGAACCGGAGACATGATCCTTGTGTGTAACATACTTAGCCAATAAAACTTATTATAAAACGAAACTGCTAATAATTTTAAATAAATGGTTAAATATGAAAAACGCCTTTCATTTGGACTCGAAGGCACTGAAACTGATTAGTCAAAATAATAATAAGTGAAGTTATGGACTTTCTAATTCCATAGGAAGCAAAATAAGGGAGCATTAATATTACTTTTAAAATGGGGCGTAAACATATATTTTGTGTAATAGCTGATTTATTAGTGACCCCTGTTCTTAGATCAGTTTTAGGATTTCCCTTACAACAGGCTTTACATTGTTGTTTGTCAGCTCTCCTCAGACAACCCCCCCCATACTAATCTCTTCAAAGAGCAGAATATCGGCGGTGAAAACTCAGCCAACTATTAGAAATGAACTGAAGTTATCTCTGACTTTATTTCAGGACATCTAAAAAGCATCGCTCACCATCACACCACGGAGCTCTTTTATGCCTTAATTCGACTACAGTGGTGTATAAAAACATTTTCAATTAGTGATTTCTCTCTGATACGGACCAAAACAGTAAGCAAGCTAAACAAAGAGCAGGAAT